TTAGACTTGATAAGACTTAGCATAGTATGGTTTGGAGGCGTCGATATGATCTCTTCTACATAAATATGTACATATATAATTAAAACACATACTAATAATTAAACAACAGTATAAATAATACTTAAGCCACTGAATGTCATATAGATTTCTTGTCTTTAATGTGCTTAAAGAATCTAGCAGTAGCAGCCTGTACAGCTCCAAAAGTCTTCGGAATTTCCAAACTACGAGTTATCCACTGTGGCAACTTGGCTTGTATACCTTCCTTGCAATATCGCTCGTCTACTAGTAGTACGCAAGCATAATCATTAATGTGTCGTACAGACCGGCCAATGCATTGATTGACAGCTTTTAGGCATACATTTTCATAATATTCATTTCCTGCCCCTGATCCAAGTGTCTCATTTAAATACCGCATGCGCTCCTGTAACTCGACAGATTGTAGATTTGGGTAGGGCAAACCAACTACAATTACACATCTCCCTAAATCGTCTGCAAAGTTTAGTCCTTCGCTCAATTTTCCACCAACAACACTGAAAAGTAATGCTCCACCTGTATTATTCGATTTTATTGCGGCGCTGTAATCATCTAAAAGTTTCTCTACTGATGAACCGGTACCTGTACGCGTCTCAGAGAATATACGTTTCTTCAAAGATATTCTCTCTAATATACCACTCTTTTGTAAGTGACTATATACAATATCAAGATATTCGTAAGATGGTAGAAAGCAAACCACTCCCGCTGGTATTACACTGCAAACGTTTTGAACAATCATTCCCAATTCTGTGATCTGCAAAATATCGTAAAAATTAAGAAGATTATATGTTTTATTAATGTTTAATTAGATACTTATGGATTTACATGTAATCGAAATATTTCTTGTCTACCAGAACTAATTTTAGGGATGAACTATAAAATAATTCGTAATAATATGTTATAAGATAAAAATGCCTGTGTTTCAGTGATGGAAAAGTAAGCATGATTGGGCTACTTTCCACCCTCACTTACAGTAAAAAATGCAGTCATCCAAACAATATTTTAATTTTTGCTGCTTCTAAGGTAAATCCCAAAATTGTATTTTTTTATTAATTTCTATTATAGACGAAAGTCACTTAAGGTACTGAAAATGATTACATGAGTACTTTTTGCGGTAAGTTTTTAATGCGTGTTTCACGGAAACTTAAAAACTCATTATTCATGCCTATAACGGTATCCGAAGGATGCCATCCGCACGGATCTTATCCGCATCGCACTGTCATAATAAGCGAGTGTGAAGGATTAAATTCATGCGAATGACATCCGTAGGATACATGCCAATTCTGGTCCGAAGGATGGCATTCGCACGAACGTAATCCTTCACACTCAGTGCGAATCGGATTAGATCCGTGCGGATGGCATCCGTCGGATACCGTAATAGGCATGAATATCTTGTCCAATTTTAAAGTTCAAGGTATCGCGGGAAACGTTTGTATTTGCCGGCCCCACGATATTTATTAATTAATTGTCTGAAATTTAGACTCGACTGTCGTAGAAACGAACACACTTATAATGCGAAATGTATGTAAATATATTACCTAGATTAAAGGAAATATGTAACTCCACAAAAAATTTAGACGGTTGCGCGTGGTCGATGTATTCCAAAAATCTGCATCTATGGTCTGATTTTGTTTATATTTGAATACATACAGTTTATCTGATTTAGTTTATATTTGAATACATATGTATGTATGTATATATTACCTGCATGAAAATGAATAACACCAACAAAATGTTACTGATATGTGGTGCAGAGGCAGTGTTGGGCAAATTTTAATTGCAAGGACAATTAACAATTAATTACCAGTTGGTTAATTGTAATTGTGGAGAATAACAACTAACAATTAATTAATTGGTAATTGTAGTGGAGAATAACAATTAACAATTAATTAATTAATGGTTTTCTGCAGTTAGCAATTAATTAGTTTTTGTTTTGCGAATTTTATTAAAAATTAACGGTTAAAAATGTCAACTACACAGGCCTGAGAGGTCTGCGTTAAGACATAGAGAACCCTGAATAAAACTGATGAATGGTGAACTTTGTTGTTGTTGTTGTAGCATCATACAAGTTCCCCAAAGGGTTTTTGGCGAGTGTTGCTGGAGTGACAGTCCTTGGCCAGTTATAAATCTGGGTCGTTACGGTTACGTAGACCCGACTGTCGTGGGAATGGTGAACTTTGCATGGTATTGCTGACAATCGCATCAAGACAATGGTAGTCTTGTTTACGCGGAAGAGATAATTAGCAAGACCTATGGTCTGAGACCGGATATGGTATTCCAAGTATATATAGTTTTAGCCAGACCAATCTCCACGTACTCTGCTGTAGTATGGTGGCGCAGAACCATTCCTAAGTTCAGAATAGACCATATATGAAATTTCAGCGAGTTTGTAGTACGGCAACTACTTTTGGGCGCATCTTATAAAGGGACTGTTCGTCACCTTTGCCAGGCCTCTTGCAACGTTTAATTTAATAGGCAAAGTTATACACTAGTGTATCAGGGTATCAGGATGGATTATACGAAATTAATTGATCTATGCCTAACACTGTGCAGAGGTCGAGACATTTGGAAACCCCGTATTTATGGTCCGATTCGGTTTATATTTAGAAAGCTTGTTTAACACCCATTTTCTTAATATTAATTTATTTTACCCGATTTCGACCCAGTTTTAAATTTTCAAATTTTATCCCTACTTTTTTGTGAATTAAAATATATACCAAGAAAACCCATAAATGACCCAGCCAGCTGAGAAACGTACTTTTTGCCGACAGTGCAGTTTTCGTACATTTTTCGTATCCGGAAACGTTCAGAAAACGATTTTCATATTTGTTAATTTTTCGTATCCGAAAAATGTCATCATCTTATTTCAAAACAATAATCTTAAAATAGTTGTTCAAACTAAGCATTTGAAAACATGTATACGTATTCACCAGTAGCTGAGTGTGCAGAGAAGTGTGCTACGATTTTTTAGCTTTCAGGAGATCCCAGGTTCGAATTCCGTCAGAAGCAACACATTAAAATTATTTATTAAAATTGAAATAACTGCTGAATCTTAAATTTGTTTTTTGTTTGGTTTGCTGTAACTATGAAAAAGTTTCTGTGAAGTTCTTAATGAAATCGTTTTCAACGAAAAATTTACTCAGACAAATTTCGGGAAAACATCCGAAAGCGCATCCGTTTTACAACCATTTTGATAGTTTTCTGCATATACGTTTCGGATGAACACTTTAGTGGGAGAATTGATCTGAAAACGTCCGAAAATTTAATCGGAAAACGGATGAAACATCAGGTTTTTATACGAAATTGTTTCCATTTTCGGATACGTTTCCGGATATTTTGCTGGCTGGGGATGTAATGAATTTTACTACTTTACCATATCTGCAGTACTTCGCTCTGTATAATTGAAGCAAAGACGCCGACCTGTTGGCCCTTGTGCAACGACAAGTGGTAATACAGCATCGGGTGGAACGACATGGCTATAAATATGTTCCCGCACTCGATTTGGACAAGCACTAAAGAGTTGTTGCGTTAATTCCCTGGTAGGCTGCATTGTACCGCCAGCGACTATTATCTGTATAAAAAGCCATATTAATTTACTAATTTATTTTGGTATTGAATACTTACAGCTCGCGCATCCTTAACGACATCCGCAAAATGTGCACCTGGATTTAACAAAATGTACTTGTACATGCTACTCTTAGAGTCTCCCGTTGCATCGAAATGTAAAATAACTCGCCCATCCTCTGCATTTTCGGTTAATGATTCGAGGAAAGACAAAAATGAACGGAATGGAACACTAATCGACATTTTTTTCTCTGCAGTTTTATTCGTTTTTGTAATATTTGCATCCTCTACACTCTCGAGAACATCTTGACTTTTAAGATCCTTCTTTTGTGAAGTTTCGATTTGTACGAGAAGTTGCTTCGTTGCAGAACCTTCAACAGCACTGCCATCTTTTAAATTTGAACAGTCAGTTTTCTCCGCAAATCCTTGCAATTTTTGCGCTAATCGAGATCTATCGCAAAATTGCAGCAGTAGGTACAAATCGATATTGTAAAACTCGCCTTCTGCTGTGAGCTCATAGGTTCGAAGAACTCTGGAAACTGGCATGTATTGCTTCTTTGAATTTGGGGCACCCGTTTGAATTAGTTTTACAAGCCGTTTCACCACAAATATCAATTGGTTAATATTTAGCAGGCTGGTTGCACTGAATCGTTTTAAGTAGCACAGTTTATATGCACTGATTTGTTGTTGGATTAGTAAAAGTTGCTGCAAAGTTAACTCACATCTATGCAATTGAGAGATGGTATCTAAGAGATTATGCGCCTCATCTACAATGACAATAGCCCCTTTTAACTCTATGCCCATCTGAAGTCGCGTACGTCTATGCAAAAGCATCTGATATGTAAGCATTACTAGTTGTGCTGATTTTGCAGCTTCCCTTGATGCGTAGTATGGACACGCTTTTAAACTTTCACCTTCCCCAACCAATTCTTCTATGTCCATTACATTGAACAAAGCAACTTCGCTAAGCCCTTGCACTAAAGTAGTTTTGCGAAATTCACAACATTTAGATGTAGTATTTTTGTTAGCCTCTTTATTTTTAGGCGCCATATCGAGACAACGTTCGTTGATGAGATTCATATTTGCTAATTTCCGTACTTGAGGATTTATGCATAGCTGTTGCCGCGATGCCAATGAAACACAACGTATTCGGCAACCGTACGGTGTACGTTTGACTTCTCTTACAACTTGTGCGAGTTGAGAATGTGTACGGCTGCAGAAAAATACCTAGTAATGATATTCAAAATGAAAGTTTAAGAAAAAAAGTATTGTTTGCATTTATGTGGTATATGAATTTTGTTTAAAACAAGAGATTAGAAGATGCTTAAAATATTTAAACACCTTACGTATATGAGGACACAATCCTGCCCAGAAATACTTTGGGCGGTTTTTACTTAGTCACAATAATAATGTATCACTTCAAAATAAGTATGAAAACTATTTCAATACTTTATTTTTTCTCACCTGGATTGGACGAAATTCCTCTTCTCTTTCCATTTCCTGATCTTGAATTATAGCATCACTAGCTTTTTCGTCCCAATCTGAAGTTTCCGATAACTTATTATCTAGACTTGCATCATTTGTTACCTTTGATATTTTGCTGATAACTTTTCGTCGGTTTTTGTGCAGTACAGCTTGCCGCTCACGCATTTCTCCCAAGCGTTCGTCGTGAATCTGTAATAATTGCTGACATCTAAGCAATTTTTCAAGTTCTTTCTTTTTCTCTGTTGCTGCATAACCAGCCGTAATCCAGTCATGTGCCATATTAATGTTGCTAGTCAAACGTTTAACTTCTAGTTCAGCACTCGAAAGACGATCCGACAACTCTTTGCGTTCCAAGATCTTTAAAAGCAGTAATTTACATTTATTTTGTATTTATTAATTTATTTAGTTACCTCCCGATCTTCAAGCCATCGAAGCACAGAACACGTCAAAGTCAACGACTTCCCTGTCCCAGTTGGACTCTCAAAGATGCCAATGGCTTTTTTCGTCAATGTATCGTATACCGCATCCATCAGTTGCTGCTGGATTTCGTATGGAATAAACGGAAACTCATAGTCTTTTGGGATCTCAAATGTTTTACTTGGCGATAACATAGTGCACTGTAAATGTCACATTTATATTTAGTCAATTAACATACAATTTATTCGTATTTAAACGCGAAAAATAAAGCAACTAATAGAGGTGGGAAAATATCGACGATACTATCGATATATCGATGGTTTGTTGTTCCAAAAAATACTATCGATACTATCGACTGTATTGTAAGACCAATTGTAAGTCCCCTTTCAGACACGACAAGTCTTGCTTTAAGTCTGCTCGTTCGTTGGTCAAGGAGGTGGGAAGAGAGGGGAAGAGTACAGATACCTCCGTACCGTCAATTCGTTTCAAGTTTTCTTGTTCTCTTTTGAACTTTTCGTTGCTTCCCATTTAAAGATCCGAGGACATGAATTCTATAAGACTTGACGCGTGTGAAAGCAAAGAGAAAACACAAAAGAGAATGCGATAAAAATTGCTTTCAAGACTTGACGTGTCTGAAAGGAGACTTATTAGCGACGATTTAGTAGCTCTTATTTCGCTAAAAAAAAGCGAGAAATGAAAAACTATGTCTGTATTCAAGCGCATTTTCCACTGCAAAAAATCTTAAATTTTTTAATAAATCTATAACGATTTGTTTTTTTTCTAAAAATATTATGGTCCTGTGTTAAAAATATATTGTGTATACAATTACATAATTTTTAGTTATGTTTGAGTGGAATAAAATAATATTAAAGGCTGCATTTCTTTATTCATTCTGAACGTTTGGAATAAACTTTTTTGTTTATTTATTCTTTAGAACGTTCCTGATGATATTTTGACGTATATTTCAAACGTATTCTGTTTATTCCGGCTGTGAAATGGGATTATCCGGAATGTATAAACAAACGCAGCCAAAATGTTATTTTACAATTTATTTTAAATACGTGCGTTTTACCTGTAGCATTTTCTCAGTGAACATACACATCCGACAATGAAAGTCGAAGTAAAAAAGAAATAGGTCAAACAGTTTCTGCAATTTTAATCAAGGATCTTCAATCGTTCATCAAACCGAATGATGGAGCTTTTATTAATTTACTTATCCCTAGTTTCAGTAATAAATTTTAAAATTTATCAGCCTTTAAATTTAAAATGACGAATTATGTAATTTTAAATTTTAGCAGGCTGATAAATTTAAAATTGATTGGTCCAACCGAGCATTCATGTTACGGATCCTGAATATCTCTGCCGTCAAAAAACAAAGCTTAATATTCCTATATAATATTAATACCTTTGCATTCCAATATCGTCTGTGGAGTCAGAGAGAGTTTTAAGTTTGACGGGATTAACTATTAATAATAGCCGAACTCGGGAAAAGCTCTTTTGCAGAAAAATGTTTGTTCAAACAAATAAAAATGTACAGGGCATCGCTTAGCAAAGCTAAATATTTGAATGAAAATTTAATTTTTCTTATAAATAAAATTTGGTCGATAGCATCGATATATCGATGATGTTCATCAATAATATCGGCAAATATCGATAGTCACTACTATCGATAGTTTTCCACCTCTAGCAACTAAACGCCAGCCAAACATCTTTAATAATTAAAAGCTCAGTTAGTCAATGACGTAGCGTAAACTTAGGTTGACGTACGTAGCAGCATATCAAATTTACTGTTGATAGAGAGAGAGCAGCAACAGCAACGTCACCGCCATGCGGTGGTGAGTTTTGGTTCACACGCGTTGACGCAGACACGATCTACCTTATGGGATTCACGAGTTAACGCAAACTCACCACCGCATGGCGGTGACGTTGCCGTTGCTTCTTTCTCTGTCTATCAACAGTAAATTTGATATGCTGCTAAGTACGTCAACCTACGTTTACTCTACGTCGTTAACTAACGGCGCTTTTATTTTGACTAGACCTGGGTAACGCAGCGCGGCGTTGCGCCATTGCGCTGGTACCGTGGGTGGTGCTTCTGGCGCTGATACACCATTTGGCATCACGGTGGCGCCAGCAATGCAAACAACGTGGCTATTAATTAACATTCTCTGGTTGCGCTGCGCTTGTTCAGTTGGCTTTACAAAAAGAGGCATGGCGCAATTGCGCGGATTCAATGCGCTGATAATAGCGATGACGCTGGCTTCATGGTATCAGCGCTCGCAAATTTGCTGCGTTACCCAGGCCTAGTTATAACCCATGATTCAATAATACAAGGTTAGATAATTATTGAAAGCCGTGGTTTGACACTCCCTTACAAAAGGTTGCATTTACGAAGGATGGGGGAAAGGGGAGGAATGAAATGCATTGCTGCGACAATGGTAGTAGAAAAGTACCCAAAGTAGGCAAATAGTAGTGAAATTCCTTTTGTAACTTCTAATGTATTTGCAGGAAATCTAGCATTTTAAACGAAATATTGAACGAAATGTTAATATATCTATGTGAACTACGCAATTTGTGTGTTATTTAGCCGTAACAACTGCAAAAAGACTCAAAATTAATATAAAACTACTATGAGATTTATGTAAACATCCAATTTAAAAGCAGTTTATGTTTTCATCAGTTAAATGTGCTTCATATACATATATAAATAAACATATTGCACAAAAGCTTATACTTCTATTTCACAGCAAAGCAAAACTTTTTCCAAGATAATTGGCAAAGAAGCAACACTTTGCCACTGCTAAGGTAACAGTGCGAGAGAGACAGTTTATCAAACCTTGTATTATTGAATCATGGTTATAACTTTAATTGGGATAATGTCACTTTTGAGTCTAAATCATATTTTCCAGCTCTCAAGAAAAGCAAAAAAGGCATATGAGAAAGAAACTTTCTATTAAAGTTTCTTCTGCGCAAAAATACTTCCGCCACTCTTTTCTGGCAACATAGAAAGTAGAACTCTACTTAGTAAGGGTTATAATTTCTAAACGCTATAGGCGTTGACAAGAAAATAACGTGGGTAAAGACAGCTTTTATGCCAGTGGTTTGGTAAAAATTTTATCATTACTCTTGCACATTCCAAATTCTTTTGGTTTGCGAAATTACATGAGGGATTTGGATTTCTTTCGCCTTTTCGTTTGGAAATACGTCACTCCTTATATAATTACATAATAAAATAAAAAAAATTGGGTTTATGTCACTACAAAAAGAGTGACATAATCCCAAATTTTAAAATTGGAGTTATGCCACTTGGGGCTATGTCACGGCACCGATTGCTGAGTACGAGGCCTTATGTTAGGCAAAAGGGGGAGTATAAAAGACTCAAATGGAGGAAATTAGCCTATGCTTACAGAAGATATGTAATAAAGTAACCGACAAGAGTTTACCTGGTAAACCCAAATAAAGGTTAAAAGTTAAAAACTTTTTAAAAAATGTAAGTAAAATCTGTAGAAAATTAACAATAAACTACTTTCACACAACATCTATAAAGGGCCTTTTATTTAGAAAAAAACCTGTGCGACAGTTATTATTTTACAACCTGTATATGATAAAAAATTAATAGCTAGAAAAAGGAGTACAAAGGAAGTACAAAACTAAAAAAGAGTACATTTCCAGATTTACTTTTTTGGGGAGTACATTGCAATGAAAAGGAGTACGTTTACTCCCAAAAGCAGTACGTCTGGCAACCCTACCGTGATCACTATTTTCCGCTATATTAAGCAATTTAAATTTATTTTGTCTTACAATTTTATTAAAAATGCCTTTACAAACCTCTTTTCCTTGCTAGCGTCCATTTTTGTTTACTTTTACATTTGGCATTTCTCCTCTTCTTCGCAAAAATAATCGATAAAACTAGGTTGGACACCGAAAAGTTATCGGTTAAATCTGAGATTATTTTAAAATTACAGATTAACAAGGGAATAGTTTTGTATGGCTGATCTCTTTATAATTACAGATAAGGGAGTTAAGCTCGAAAATGAGGATAATCTATTTATATATAAACCTATTATTACTTACATTGCAAAATATATCACATATATCGCTGCATAAGTATGTATTTCACACCGAATAAGAGAAATAGTATACTTAAATTATAAAATAACCCAATTCTATTGCAAAACGTATACAAATTCACGCTTTTGTTTTGGTTTTCTAGCTCAATAATAATACTCTCAGTGATGCATTTTCTGTTAACGAAAATCTTGCATGATGTCCTCCAAAATTAGCTCCGAGCAACTTAAAGTTAAATACCTTCTTACTGCTCTTGTTAAATTAAAAAAAAAAAATGGTTGAATTCCAGAATAGCATAATAGAATCATGTATGGAATGAAGAAAAAAATATTTATTTATTCCTATCACGAATATTCTGTCGAAATCAAATAATGAGTACTCGAATGCCTACGTATTTGGCCAATCTTCTCCAATTTTTGGGTCGTGTCTTGATTTAAGTAACTCGTCACAAAACAGTATGGGAATATGTACATATCATATATGTGTATTATTGTATATGACTATAATTTATAATAGAAGTCATATCAATTTATTAAACATGTTTCACCATTTAAATTAATAAATCTAAATATATGTGTTTTTACGTTTAATATGGTTTACATTTAACTAAATTATTTCATTACACATATTTTTTAGATCACTTCGACTTGTAAACAATAGTACTATTAGTATTATAAAAAAAAAAACAATTACGTTAAGTTTTATTAATAATGTGAAGCGAATCTTTATTATTTCATACATTCGGTGCTAAAATTGTTCCCCACATTAAATTGCTGCACAACACCCTAATTGCCGAAAAAGCGTTGTCTGCAACCCTAAGGGTCTGATTATGCATACTTCGCATAACTTCGCACAACCATTTGTACCAGTGCAATAAAAATATTACTTAAGAAAATGTGAAGCAAAATCTAAACTCAACAGATCGCTAAGTTTTTAAAAGTTCTGCTAATTTCTGGGTAATGGAACACATACAAAATACATACGAAATTTCAGTTTGAAGTTTATGCGAAGTTTTGCGAAGTTATGCGAAGTATGCATAATCAGACCATTAGTCCTTTCTGGGGACCAAATTTGGCGAAAAGAACAGCTCAGTTTGTTTACTGGATATACTGAGGTTGCCAGCTCTTAGTTCTCGCACAATTCTTATACAGAGAAGCATGACCATCCTTGACACACTGCTTTCTTATCCGATTTAACTTTTTGCCTTGACCATGTGCTTTCCCTCAAGTAGCAACATAAAGATACACCTTATGAATATTCTCGATTTTATAGAATAACTAACATTCAAATTTTTTGAAATTGTTTTAATAACGAATCACTACAGTTTGATTGTAAATAACTATGTACATGTGTATAGTAAAATTATTTTCCATAAACTTATCGTTTGAAACCTAATTTCGTATTTTCGCTACTTTAACGCAAAGAATGCTGTGTTCGTAAATAATTCCATAAGTCGCGCGCTGTCCGTATGCTGACCATAAATTGACAGAGCTTTGTCTCAATTAAACAGAGAATGATAAATTTTGCCCGTTTGTCTTTAAGTAGAGACTAAACAAGACAAAAATAATTATTTGAGGTAAAATTAAGTTTCATTTACTTACCTCTTCATTGTTTTCGGGTCCATTTTCAACAACCGTCCACAAATTCTCAGATTCTAGATAGGCTCGTACTGTCATAGACCAAGCTTTATAGTTGTCGAGCCCTTTGAGTTTCTCAATTTGCAGCTGCAGAGTCATTTTATTATTATTTTACTCACTTTGTTGATAATAATATGTACATATGTAAATATTATCAGAAAACTGTAACGTTCACTAAGTCGTTCGAAACAAAACTGAACATGAACAGCAAAAGAAAATTGAAAAGGTATTGAGCATATGTACATATCTATGTAAATGTACATACATAAGTATATGCTCATATGTAGTCTTGCCCTTTTCATCATTCGACTGCAAAGCAATATGGCTAAAAATCGTTATTTTTGCTACAACTTGGTCAAGTGGGCAAGATTTTGAAAAGAAGATAAAAATATGAAACAATGGCAATGGCTGTAGGGCGAGAAATATGAACGAAACTTGACAATGAAATTGGCTAGTAGTGCATACATATGGATGCACATATGTACATATATACACAAAGGGTGAGCCATCGCACAGTATCAGATTTTACCTTCTAAGCTGCATTTAAGGCCTGCGCAGAGAGGTGCGGTACGGTACAGGGCGGTATAATCCCGTACAATATGCGGTATGAAATACCATGGGCTTTGTTGCCATTTTAGCCGTTTTCCGGCTACCATATAAGCTCTGATCCAATACTTCTCGTGCAAAATCCTGTAAAAATGTCAAACAGCAAAATTACTCTCTGAAGTGAGAGTAAAAAGTGAGTAACAACAGAAAAAGTACGGGAACAAAAAAAGCATTTTTCCTGTAAAAACGTCAACCAGTGATCAATTGACACTTTTCATGATTTCACCAGAAGAAAAAGTTCGGGTAAAATCTTGCAACTTCATTCTCTACACAACTCTCCAAAAATCGCTCTCATTTGCAGGATTTTGGAGGAATTTGGAGTACGGGATCATTTTTCCTGTAACTTCCTGTAAGTTCGTGCAAAAACTTGTAAGTTCATGGAGTACTGGATCAGAGATATAATAAATAATAAGTAAGCGGGTTTGGAACGTACTTTTTTATTTAAAGTGAAAATTATTTCATAAGTAACAAAACGACAGACAGTAATTAAATTTATATGCATTTAATAATACTTTAGTGTGTACATATCTGATAAAAGTAATTTATGGTATGTAGAAAAACACGATGCAAAAAAAATAATAAAAAAATGTCGCTTACGTTAGTTTGGCGGTTAGGGCTCGATACGGTTAATTCCCAAAATTTATTTAAAAAAATTCAGTGCAATGTAAAACAAAAGTATGGGTACCAAATGAAATATGTTTTTTTGGTTCACAAGGACGAATAGGGATTGAAAATGCACCTCTAATCTATTTTATTTTATTTTTAAGCTAATAAAGTTAGTCCTGAACATATAATTTTTTCAAGAATAAGAATTGAAAAATTTCAAGGATATTCAAGGATAAAATTATGAAAGAGTATTTTCAATACCTACCCGTCCCCTACGGACCGAAAAATGTAATGTGTTTTAACTCTACACAATCTTTTCTTTCATTTGATACCTATACTGGTTTCTTAAGTATATTTCACTGAAATTTTTAAATCATTTCTTGAATTACTCCTATATTTCAAATTTCAAAGTTCTTTTTAAAAATTAAAAGGGAGAGAAAAATTAAGAACGCAGTTTTACTATATTTGGCCCTTGGTTTAGCGAATATATTGATTTCGTTTGTGTGCAAAATTGCCTGTCGCAAGGTATTATATGTATATTGAGCTACACATTTATAAAAAAAAATGTTAAGTATTAAATAAAAAAACGAAATATAGCTAAAACTGGTCAACATAAAGCGTTTCTATTATTGCCACCAGTGTAAATTACAAATCCCGAAAATCCCGATTTTTGGGACTTAAAAAATACCGGGTTCCCGGGATCCCGGGCTTAACATTCCTAGTGCATACTACATGTAAATAAATGGCCTTAATAATCAATAATAATAATAATGACATAATAATCTTCCGTAAATCTTTCGCAGAATCTTTCTCGCGAAAACTCCAAGAGCCACCTCATCAGATGTCCATGCCTACGCGCTATATACCAGCACAGGCATGACGAGTGACTTATAGAGTGTGATCTTTTTACGACGAGAGAGGACTTTACTTCTCAATTGCCTACTCAGCCCAAAGTAGCACTTGTTGGCAAGAGTGATTCTCCGTTGGATTTCAAGGCTGACTTTATTATTGGTGTTAATGCTGGTTCTCAAATAAACGAAGTCGTCTACTTTTACAAACTTGTAACTGTTAACAGTGACGTGGGTGCCAAGACGCGTATGCTCTGACTGTTTGTGTGATGACAGGAGATACTTCGTTTTGTCCTCGTTCACCAACAGACCCATTCGCTTTGCTTCTCTATCCAATACCGAGAAGGCATAACAGACGTAGCCCTTGTTCTTACCGATAATATCGATGTCGTCGGCATACGCCAGCAATTGTACGCTCTTGTAAAGTATTATGCCTGAGCGGTTCAATTCTGCGGCTCTTATTATCGTCTCCAACATCAGATTACAGAAATCACACGAAAGGGAGTCCCCTTGGCTGAAACCTCGTTTGGTATCAAACTGCTCGGAGAGGTCCTTCCCTATTTTGACGGAGCTGGTGGTATTGCTCAACGTCATTTTACACAGCCGTATTAGTTTCGCGGGGATACCAAATTCAGACATCGCGGCATAAAGGAAACTTCTCTTCGTGCTGTCGAAAGCGGCTTTGAAACCGACAAATAGATGGTGTGTGTCGATCCTATTCTCGCGGAATATTCAGAATATTGTTACTTGTGATAAAAAAAGAGACACGTATTTTTTTATTTTGAAAAAAAGTTTTTTAGAGGTAGGTTTTTTAATAAAAACGCTGATGTTTTCAATTTTTTTATTTGCTTTACATGTTAAAATGCAGCTAAAAATATGGTTTTTACATATAATTACTCTGGTATTATTGGGGAACTTTCCCTTAATTACACACCTCTCTTGGACAATTGGAATGGGTCTAGTTCCCGAAAATATGCTCTCGGAAAGACACTAGTAAAATTAAAACGTTGATACTGAACGATTTACGCATTGTCATGGGTTGGAACTTGTTACCAGGAGGTTCCTGGAGTGGCTAATTAGGAATATGAAGTCAGTTTTTAAAATTCAAAATGGCGGATCCAAAATGGCGATCCATTTTTTTTTTTTAAATAATTGGATTTGGAAACCCGGCACTCGAGAATTTTTGGGGTCGCTGATTACGAATCTGAAGTCAACCTATTTAAATTCGAAATGGTTGACCCAATATGGCGACCAAATTAAAAAAAAAATACTAAAATTAAAACGTTGATACTGAACGATTTACGCATTGTAATGGGTTTGAACTTGTTACCAGGGGGTTTCTGGGGTTGCGGTTAAGAGTTTCAAACAAATTCAATCATGTTTTTTTAAGTTGGTCGCCATTTTGGATCCACCATTTTGAATTTGGAAGATCTGACATCAGCTTCATAATCAGAAAGCTCAGAAACCCACTAGAAACGAGTTTGACCCTTGACAATGTTTAAAACGTTCAGTATCAACGTTTTCATTTTTGTACTTCTTTTTAATATGATCGCCATATTGGATCCGCCATCTTGAATTCAAAAAAATTGACTTCAGATTTGTAAATTTTATGCTTGATGCCATGGCAACCGTGTGTATTTTATTGTTGTGAAATTACAAATGCAACGAATATGCAAATAAAAGAGCATATGCACAACATGGTATTAGTGTTGTCGTTGACATTTCTTTCATCCTTTGCTTAAAGTTTTTCTACGAAAAAACAAAATCAAAATTTTTGTGTTCAATTTGCTTATCATTAGCAACCTTTTTCTTTTATTCATATTTCAATTTCGCCAGCTAATTGACAAAAAATCCCAACTAGCGTATTAGAAATGATAAAATATGGCTTCCACTTCGATAAATATATCTAAAATACTAGAAAAGACACGAATTGGAATGAGTGGATCGTGAGTTTTCAGCGAAATCAGTAGCTCGTTTCTGTAACAATTCTCTACCAAGGCGAATTGAGAAATGAATTCACCGCCCTGTTCTCTACTGCTAATTAGTAGGTGAGAATGACGTATTTTCTCTACCAGTAGAGAAATAATCGGTAGAGAAAAGTTACAGAAACGGGCTACTGGTTTTCGTTTGACAGATTTTGCATGGACGAAAACACAAGTTTTAGGTCGAAAACCAGTTTTACTCGCGTACTTATGGAGTTTATCCCACAGGAACATGTGTATACAACTCTGCTGTCAAACACGCACATACGCTTTCCTATGGTGCGCCAGGTTTTGCAGGATGTATGCCTGGATTATAATGGAAGTAGCGGAACGGAGTCAACTGTCACTTAATTATCTATTGTATATGCAATGAATTCAATCGATTATAATGCACTTGAACGCAATGTAAAACGGAAGCATCTAAAAGGTATAAATTCGCCTTGAATAGATCCTTACGAATTCGCCGCGATTTGTTACGATAACCAAGGTATTAGTCCAAAGTCGTTCCCGTACGCCACGGTCACATAAGGTTTATTAGGGCCGGTTGTTCAATGTCTGGTTAGCACAAATCGGAGGTAGAAGCTCTGGTTAAATACAACGACTGCTTTATCGATCACATTGTCTATGCATGATGTCGAAATCGTCGATACTGATGTTTAACCGGCAAGTAGTGTTAACCAGACATTGAACAACCGGCCCAAGGTGTATTAAACAAGGTGGTGTTGGGGCGACAGCTGAGTTTTTCGCCGTGGAGGCCATTACGTCAAAATGATGTGTTTGTTGTAACTCATATCAATGACAGTATGCACATCAGCGTATAATTTGCTAGTGTAATTTTTTACTTATATACGGCCAACACCACCTTGTTAAATACGCCTTGAACCGGCCCTTATAGGTAGGAATGTTCGATATTTAAGAAAGTATCGATATCGATACCGATGAAGCGATTTAATTCATTGCTTGTAAAATCGATATGGCGATATATCGGGCTGAACAATATCGATATCGGAAAAATCGATGTGGAAAATCCTACTCCCAATTGAACAGAATATTAGACCTGCTTATCAACTCTACTAATTGTGTTATTTCCATCTTGTTTATTTACTGAGGATTAAAACGGCATGCTCGTCGACTCAAGCGGTTTGTCATACCTAAGAGCTAAATAACTCACACAAGCTGTTGATTAAACCTACTTTAGTATTTTTCCATACACTTCTTTGTACATGAAAAATAAATTTCAACTTAAATATCGATATTGCGGGTAAAGTATCGATGTCTTCGATATATCGACCTTAGAATATCGATTAAAAAAATCGATTATCCTGCGATGAAAAACCGATATTCAGAAAAATCTATACGATATCGAACATTAGGCGAAAACAGCTGTGCCCCTAAAACCTGCAAATCGTGAAGTACAGGAACAGACTATTTATTTTCTGGCAAAAGTATCGATATTTTGATATATCGATATTTTTCGCCCAATTCTATTTACTAGAATTGTTTCATATTTACTAATAAGTCAAGGCGGATGGTTCTGTGTAATGTTGTGTATATCGTGTCAAACGCCGACTAAAAAGTACAAATGTTCAAAATGTTTAGTTCGATAGTAAGACAAATAAACCGAAAACATCAATTGAAACAGTTAAATGCTTATTCTCTTCAATGTTAGTTGCTCACTTCCTTGCTACAAAAAACATCAGGACACGTGTGTTTCCAAGCAATCCTTAAACATTGAGACATGGGAAGTCTATAGCATCAATGAGCCTACTCTGCACGAGCCTTTCGGCACCGAGGATACAGTGCCCCGGAGTAAACTGGAGCTTCTGAGTAATAACCTGATCCATATTACATATATATTAATATTGATGCCCTATTATGAACTCGTACGACGCACGATAAACGCTTTCATTCTGTTATCCCTTATTACGAACTGATAATAGTAGCAAACTCGACAGTTAGCGTAACTATTGTTGTTGTTGTTGTAACAGCGTAGAGATTCCCAAAGGGCCCTGTCACACGGCCAGTATTTATTGGCGTGATCCAAGTATAGCGATATTTATTGACGGTGTAGCATGCAATATTGATCGCGATCCATATCGCAAAATTTGTAAAAATTTGGAAACATGGATAGCGGAACGCAAAACCGTCAATAAATATTGAACGTGTAGCATTTTCAAAACGCGATCCATACATTTCGCCAGTAGATATTGTACCCTCATAATGCGAACCATGGACCGAACCGTAGACCCGACTGTCGTAGGAACGATTGTGTAACTGATTTGTGTTGGTTAATGATAAAAGTGAACAAAAATAACAGACACACAAATTAATACATCATTCAAGTTAATACAATTTCATATGATCCGCCTGCAAGCGTTTATCGTCTATCGTATGAAATTCATAATAGAGGGGTTAGTATGTTATTGTAATCTTGTTTTTTTCCTTACTAGAACACTGCGAAACGCTCCACAATTTACTCTACAATCCGCATCTTCGAAATTTACTCACTGAAATTGATGTAGCTCCAGACGCTTGGAAAGCTATGAAAGCAGCAATGCAAGAACCACTATTTCTAGAGTTCGCCGATGAATGTTTGGCAATTATTGAACCCAATACTGACGATTATAATTAAAATATAAATTTGATAGATAAATGTGCGTTCAGAAATGCAT